ACATGTTTAAATAGTTTTTATAAAGGGAAGAAAATAATCGAGTATACGAATAATCTAAACCCGCTAACTGAAGCACAAATTGTCATGTATAAAATCTTGAGTAACTCATTAAAATTTTTATTGTATTATATATATGATTAAATCCGTGTGTTATATTGTCAAAAGATCTTTCATTGGCGGTATCATCCATGCGCATTGCGATTATTTTTATATAGCAATCAGAACTTAGTACAATCACGTGCGACCTTCTGCAGGTGATCGAAACGATAGCGACATGTCGATCACGATCTCTATCACCGTTCTATTGATTGAAATTCCAGTAATGTTCAACAAGATCCGAACAGCTAGTCGAGCATGGGAAAATAGTGAAGAAGTCTTCTTTTTATGTTAACTACGTGATCGATATTATCATGTCATGCGTCGCTTGTGTGAATGATAAAATGTGAAAATACACTTTTTCTTCTACCCGCTCTCGCTCCCATAATTCACGATTGATTTACATGGTGTATTCTTGACTTGTCTTTTATCAATTTAACCACTTAATTACTGATTTTGTTAGAATGTGTTGCTTGTGCGTATATTTAACGTACTATGGTCACAAGAACTGATTCGTATTTCAAATTACAAATAAATCTGATTAATAATTCAGTCTATTTTTTTGTTCTTAAAGTATCGAAATTTTGTTATCGATACTTTATACAGAGAGAATTTTTCTTCTCTTAAAATTTATCCTAAAAATCGTGGGACAACATGGCATTTTAAAGTATTTTATATGATTTTTTTATTTATTAATAAGTGTTATAATAAAATATTAAATACACTCGGTCAAATTTTATTAAAGTATACCTTGTAAAATTTAAATAATTTAAAAAAATGTTAGAGAGTAGTTCGTAAAGTTTTATTTTTTTAAATAGAAAAAATGCAAAGTAGTAATAGAAATATAAGATATACTGTACAAATTTTATAAATACAATACGCGCGATACTTTTTTAACTGCTCATTGGTAATATTAATAAGTACAATCTATTTATAAAGGAATATGTGGAAATTTTATCACGCAGCTATCTAGAAATTAACATGATTAAAAATATTTTCTTCGTACGGTGCTTGATGCAATGTGATCGATTTGTCGATTGACAAAATTATTTCAAATTCTTCTTTAGCCTATTGTTTTTCGTCGTTTTCCTTCGTATATTATCAAAATTATTATTAGACCTTTTTTTGGCGACGGTGTCTCTGTTTCTTTCTGCGTAAACCGTCATTCTTCACCTTCACCGTCATGAATACGATGTAAAAGCTCGTTTTCTATTTACGGACTCGATCGTTCGTTCGTGAGGTGGATCATAAGGACCGCTCGTATACCAAACGAATTTTTGTATTCGCTAGCAGTATAACCGGTTTGAGATTCGGACTTGGGAATTTCACTTCCTAACAATTCCAAATACGAATCTAGTAGCGTCTGTAATAAGTAAGCAATTTTTTTCGTGACGAGTTGTCAATGTCCAATGTCAATGGCCACAGTGCAATAAAATGAAAGGAAACATTTCACGCTCCGGGTAATTACTTTCCGTTCATGCATAATATCTGAGAAATGAGGTGCAGATTATTTTATTATTTATGTGTCTTCCCGAAAAGCGAAACTTACTTGATTATTGCCGAAAACTATATGCACGCGCACGTATGTATATGTATCATATACATGTATTTGTTTTTCATGTCGGATTTAATTGGATGTAATTTATACAGAAAAGAAGAGTACTATTTATTTATTATAAAATGACATCACTTGAGATTACGAGCGCGTTTTACAATTAATTAAATCAATTAAATTATTAATTAGTAATTTCCTACATTTATTGAGAGGAATGGAAAGTTTTTAGATAGCAAGATATGAAAATAAATTGTATTGATTTTTATAAATTGAATATATTATTTTGCACGGCATTTGTGAAACAGGAATTTAGGATAGCAAGTAAAATGCGATCATTGAACTTCTTAACAAGATCGCCACGACCGCACTTTATATAAAGGAGCGGCGCATAGCATTGTACGACCAGAAGATGTCGATTATTTTCTATACGAGATATAGAATTGATAATTAATAAATTGATTAAATAATTTCTTTGCGATTTTATTTACAAATTGTGAAAATTTGATGCAAAAGATGGATAAAAGTGTAAAACAGAAGCACGCGTATTATTACAGTTTCATGCTGAAATTACAATTTCGCGCTAAGTCACACGAAAAGAATTGGCAATGTTATTACAGAATAGGAGACCAAAAAGGTCATGTTACGTTCTGTTCATTTTATATATATTTTATTTTAATAAATCAGGCAGCTGTCAAACTATTCATTATTGCCGATTCGTTTCAGGGCTAATCAGTCATATTGTGTTCGATCCAAAAATATTGAATCGAGAAGTGAAGGCATTTCTGATATAAACGAACTAATTTGATTTAATTTTCAACGTCATAAAAAAGGAAACATATTATATGTGTTGTATTTAATGTTGGTGTGTTAAACGTAATTTTTGATTCCGTGAGATACTGATTTTATGTACATACAGAGTAATCCCCCAGGAGAGTAAAGTATAAATATTTTACCAACAGATTCTAAAACTAAAATTTTGTGAAGAATATTACAAGCGTTACGTGAATGAATCTGATTTTTAATGGTTATTAAGACCTCAATACTGTAATTAATATTGAATTGTCACAATAGATTGCAATATCTTTGATTGTATTGTAATATGGAATTAGTTCTCAATATAATAAATATATAATGAATGTATATTCAGTGATTATAATAGTGATAATGATATGCTAACAGCATATAATACTACATTTCACGGTTTTTTAAATTTATAGAGTGGTTCACTAATTTTAATTTTCTATCCGAGATATTTTTAGTATTTTAAATAATAGGGAATAATTGAAGCTAGAAAGCCAATTTTATTTTTTTTTTTTTTTAAATGGAATAACAATTTTTTATGATAGAATTTTCTCTGGAGTAGGAAATTCTAAGAAAGAAAGTATTAGAGTGCATGTATTTCAAAACTAATAGTTTTTGAGATAGTCTACTTTCAAGTTAGCAGTTATAATACTTGTTCCACAACGGATTCAGGTAAAAAAGTCAACACATAACTTATGTTGGTCAACGCATGATAAAATATATTTAATGAAATTTATTCTGATCAATTTTATGGTCACCTCGTTCCTCCGCCATCTAACGCCATTCGATTTTAAAAAACATAGTAAATTTATTAAGAAAAATCGATCGTATGTTAAATAAATCTGAAGACAATAAGATGTGATCCTTAGTGGTAAAGATTACAATCGATGCAAATGATCATAATTTTGAACATATTTTATAATGTACACATAGCAGTCCCTATTACACAAACATGCAGGATCCTGAATAAAAAAAGATTTGTGCAAACTTAAATCCTTATATTTCTGACAATTACTATAAAATATATATTTTTGTAAAATTGCATAAATATTGATATTAATTTTAAAATGTTTCTGAAATTATTTTATATTTCGATACCCGTTTCATATTTTATTATATATAAGATGGTCCACTAACTTTGATCACCCGAAATATTTTTTTAAATTTTAAACAATAGAAAAAAATGAAGCTTAAAAAAGGCTTAGAAAGCTTTACGATTCGAGATGCATGTTACATAGCAATAGTTTCGTTGTAAGTGTAGGCGTGAAGGAGATTTGAAGATTAACTTAAATTTTTTTGATAGACTGTGTGTGTGACCATGTTTTATGATGGAACGGCAAATTCTGAGAGAAAGTATTAGGATATATTCCAAAATCAATAGTTTCCGAAATATTCAACTCTTTTAAGTTAAAGCAATCACGATGCTTAACTTATAAGGTAAAATACTTCTTTCTTTTCAATGCCCAATGAATCACCGTACGAACTTCTGCTCTACATCCTGCAATAAGATTCTACGTATATCTACACCATACCGTGCTAAAACCACTGGCGTAAAATTGGATGATTAGAGAAACATCGAATACAAGAACGAGTATCTCGAAATGTGATACGAATCTTTGCTTCCGTGTTTTGTGTCGTAGAACGACCCGCAATAATAATTTATCCAAATATCAAATTGAACCGCCGCACTACTATTTCCTCGTTTTCAAATGCATGTTTATGTATAAATTGTTTGGCGATGTAATTTTTATTTTGATTTATATGCCGCAAGTCTTTAGCCGTTGCTATTCATAGGTCGGTTTATGCCGAATCGTCATTGTTATTTCTCACATTAACGACGCTAACGTGTTCTCAACGAATTTAAAAAGTTCCTTAAAAAACCTGGTAGCTATTTAGCCTCGACCTCCGACGCGATATCCTAGATGTTCCTCTGGCGAACGATAAAAAAGAAGAAAGAGTAGATTTCTGTATGTGATTTTCACCAAATGTATGTAGCGTCTTCCTTTGCTCAGAGACGGTGAAAAAAATGGCCCCGTTTCCGCTTCACGGAATATAAGTGCGATTAACATGCAATTATTCGGGTCAACAATGGGATCCCGAGGCTATGTGTTTATTACCCGATAGCTAACTCTCTCCCATCGACTTCCGTTGAAATTGAAGGTCAATCGTATACTGGTATGTGAAAAGAGGAATCTATTCTGTCAAGAATCAAAGTACGACAAGATG